TAACATTACTCATATGTTTTCTTTGTTTCTTCTTGGGCTACTAACAATGACCAATTGAACACCGGCAGGAACTACAATTCTAACACGAAATGCGTATCGGCAACTGTACGTGGCAGAATCGGGGGTGCTCTTCCTCCAAGTAGACGATAGTAGAACAAGCAGACAAAAATGAATGCTAGAATCTTTTGCTTTACCAGACGAATGACTTTTTGAACGAGACCACATAAGTGAGCTGCAAAGAGCAATATCAACAACGGCAGATAGAGGAGAAAGAAGGGGAGGCCTGGGAACAACAACAATGTAGGCAAAGCAATGGAGAGGGAAAAAGAAAGGATCACAAGGAGGCGAAAGATGCGAGCACCGCAAGCAGTAGTAAAGGCCGGTAGATGAGCAACAAGTGGAAGGGATAAGGAGCAATAGAAAAGGAGAGCGAAGATGGAGAAGAAGATGATGATGGGGTGGGTTTCAAATGGAGAATTGGGCCTCCCCTGGTACTTCACCGTAATGAAATTGAGCAGAGTCGGAAGGATGAGGGCAAGTACGGCTTGCATATTTCTCCAATGATCATGATCAATAATAGGCATTTTTTGATTCGTATATATTGGGAGAAAGAGGAAGAGGATAAGGAGCAGCAGCAGAGCGAAAGTTAGAGAAAGAGGAAGAGAACGAAGTGCAATAGCAGTGCAATCGTTGAGAGAGGGAGCAAAGTCAATTTATAATGAGTCTGTCTTACATGGACTGATTATTATAAGTCCAAAAAAGTTTCTGCGGAACCAACCATGAGAATGGCCATGTAAAAAGTTTCTGCGGAACCAACTGTGAGAATGGCCATGTAAGAACTCTTAAAAGTTAGTGCTCAGAACCATTGGTTCTGAGCACTAACTTTTAAGAGTTCTTACATGGCCATTCTCATAAAAGTTAGTGCTCAGAACCAAAATTTTGATTCCGCAGAAACTTTTAAAAGTTCTTACATGGCCATTCTTAGAAACTTTGTAGTGCTCAGAACCAAAATTTTGATTCCGCAGATACTTTTAAAAGTTCTTACATGGCCATTCTCACGGTTGGTTCCGCAGAAACTCTTTACATGGCCATTCTCATGGTTGGTTCCGCAGAAACTCTTTACATGGCCATTCTCATGTTACATGGCCATTCTTATGGTTGGTTCCGCAGAAACTCTTTACATGGCCATTCTCATGGTTGGTTCCGCAGAAACTTCTTTGGACTTATAATAATCAGTCCATGTAAGAACTTGATCGCCCCAAAAGCGTCATGCATTTGGACTTATAATCAAATGCGTGAGGCCCTGAGCCTAAGACAATCACATTATGCGTAACTTTTTGGACTTACAAAAAATTCAAAATTTGATTTCTTCAAAAAAATCGTGCTACATCAATTCACTCAAAATTCATCCTGAGTCCAACAATCCCTGTAAGGACATTAGAAGTGTCATAAGTGCTCACTTTCGTGTCAAAATTTTTTGAGCGTTACTTTAGCACCACATCGGAGGAAAAATAATTACTTAAATACTTTTGGTGACAAATTCCGGCAAAAAGTTTTACATAGCTTTTTTAATAAAATGCTAATTCTATTAAATAAATCACGTTTTCATCTAATAAGCTTTTAAAACAGTTAGTAATGGTCCCACAAAGGTATCAGAACAGCCTACACGTGAAGAGGAGTATTAAAATATTTAAATAATATATCATACCTTCATATAACAGCTTAAAGTTTTAGAACAGTTGATAATGATCCCGCAAAATCTTATAAATTCCTATGTGACTTTAAAAAAAAAAAGTCCAACATAGACAATCATATGGCCCTTCACGATGAAACGACCCCACTCACATCAAAATTTAAACTCTCTTTAATTCTCTCTCTCGTTTGCTCTCACGTTGTTCTCCAAAAGCAATGAAACCGACCCCAAAGGGACTATAATCACCGATAAATCCAGTACGTGAATCAGTGACTCACTCACTCCACTAGAGCAGGAAACTAAATCCACAACATTTGATAATATTACCCTGTGATCTTATTCTTAAGGAGAAGTTCCAAAAATCCAATTTCACCAAGAAAATGCTAAGAATCGTGCAAAAGATTGCTTTGGCCATGTGCTTGTGCCTATGCGTGCCCTGGAGAATCACATCCAAGTCGATCAATTACAAGACAACCCATTACGTCCAGTAGTTCGAGAGTTCCTCTTACAGAAATACAACAGCCCAAAGCAATTGAAACTAAGCCTTTGAATGTTGATTATCCAATTAAGAGCTTTACTCGAGCAAGTCCTGTGAAAATAGGAATTAACTCTTTTTCTCGTTCCCACCAAAAGCCACCTGGTAAATCAACTAGCTATTTGGCCCCCTTCCCTCAATACATCAAGCATCAAAAGTTGGGGCTTTGACTCCAGCTGCATCAGAAGTGTGACCCCACAATAGCAGTAATATTCACCTTCGTCTTGGTTTTATCAACACGAACTTGAGCCACTTGTCCTCCTCTTGCTCTCAATTTTTGCCCCAAAATGCCTCTATGTGAATTAGAGTTTGAAATTTGACCCAAAAAAATTAGGGTTTGAAGACGAGGGGAAAATTGGCCCAATTTGTCTCCAATAAATTGGGGCAAACACGTGTAGCTACGTCGTTTAGGGCATTTATCCTGAAATATTGTCATGTCAGATCTCTGGCAAGCCATGCTGGTCGGAAAAAATGTTGAAATATTAGCCCGTCGAATTTTCGGTATCCCAAATCGGCGATAGTAATTTAGTGATCGTTTTTTTCACCCATTGAAGTGACCCATGTGAATTTTGAGTACTAAGATGAGCACCGTACAAAAGATATGACAATTCTAGTGTCCTTTACTCCCATAAATGATTCTTTTACATAAATGATTTTTTTGGATTTTTCAGATTTTTGTAAAAATGACATTTGACATTTGTTTGAGTGAATTTGCTTTACTTTGTTCTCACGTTCACACTCTCCTCATAGATATTCTTTGTACGCACTAGGAACATATGAGTCCGCTGCATTTCAGCCCTTAAATCAAGGAACTCTCACATGAATTGGACTCATGTGTACCAAAATTATTTATGAAATTTCCCCTCTGGACTCCAAGGCCGGTCAACCTTGTGTACTCTTAGGTATTGGAGATGATACGGCCACAATTGCTGCGGATTCTTCCCTGTTAAATCTGCTTTTATGGAAAGTAGAAAGAAGTAGAACACCCCATAAGACCAGCAAACATTATTAAAGTGCTAGATGAAGAGTTTAATTTCGTTCATCTGCATGACAACATAAAATAGAGCACCTCGTTAAGCAAGTAAACCCCAAATTCGCACAACATAATCTCCTGCTGTAATGACAAACGTGCAACATAGAAGAAATGGAGGGGGAAAAAGACCGTATTCAAAATTGTAGGTCTATCTCATCTACGACTTTACTACATAGTGAGCAAACTATATGAAGATCACTCTCTATAAAAAAGGGGGGGAAATGACTGAATAGTCTTTAATCATTCACCCAATGTACAAACACATTTTTTGGACTTTTAATTTGTTCAATATGCTCTTTGAATTATTACTAAATATTCAATCTAGTTCTTCAACTTTCAATTTATTCAATTTAGTCTATCAACTTTCCATAAAAATGTCAAATTAGTCCTTCGATACTATTCTACACCATCGCACAAATTTTTTGAATATAATTTCATTTTAATCCATTTTCTGAATCAACAAAAAAAAAACTATCTTTTGATTTTTTTTTTACCTCTTTGGTTTTTATGAATATTATAATATTTCCATTTGAGCATATTTTAGTTTATGGTCTCTGTAATAGTAAAAGCAAAACCTCATATAGAGTTATATTGATTTGATATTTCTGCTATGATGTTGAGGGTAGATTTGGGTCACGAGTACCAATCTGGGATTTTTCATGAGGTAAAAGTTAATTTAGGGTAAATGTGTGACGGGAGTATTAGCTTGGGAATTTTTGGTAAGACGAAACTTAGTTTAGGGTAAATGTGTGATGCAGGTACCAGTTGAAATTTTTAATATTATTATCCCTTTTAAGAATAAGTGTTTCGTAAGGATATCTAAAATAGATATTAATTTATCTATAGATTATTGTATTTATATTAATCTGAATTTCATTCCTAATTTTAGATAGATAGAATTTTCAAGTTTTTGTGTTTCACATTTTCTTAATTAAATTTTTGAAGTATAAAATGAATATAACTGGAATATCAACTCATTACTACTGTAAATAATATTCTACCTTTACTGTTATAAATATCATAACTAAAATAAATTTATGTGGAACTATCGCAATATTTATAAAGACCAAAAAATAAAAAAAGGTAATAAAAATATCCCTTTTTTGTTGGTTTTAGAAATGGATTGAAATGAAAAGATATTTCGAAATCTGCAATAGTATAATAATGAAAAATTATTAATAGTATCGAATGAATGATTCAACTTTGTTATAGGAAAGTTGATGGACTAAGTTGAACAAATTGAAAGTTTATGGATTAGATTAAACATTTATGAATAGTTTAAGGCCACATTTAACAAACGAAAAGTTCAAGAATGACATTACACATCGGGCCAAAGTTTGAAAACTATTACCATCATATTCCCTTAAAAAAAAAAGAATAATCGAACACCAGTACAATAGGAATGTCGATTTAATCATATTTTACATTTAGAAAGATAGAAACATGAAAATTAGGCATCTTTCGCCGGAGATTTTTTTGGTCTATATCTTTTGTGGGAGTTGAGTTGCTGGTATTGATTAGTGGTTACTATTAATACATATCAAGAAATTCAGTGAAAAGTTTATTGCTTTCTAAAGTCGTCCTTTTGGTCAAGTTTCAGCTCCTTCCTGGTATCTTCTACGAAAGTGTTGAAAATTGAATTAGAAATCTTGTGCTTTTAAAAAAAAACAGAAGAAGTTATAATCCAACCTTTTCTTAAAAAGAAGAATGAAAAAAATTGTTCGGATGAGACGGTCGGGTCGAACTCCAACTCAAAATGAAAATTGCCGGAGTTTCGCCATTTTTGAGGGCAGAGACAGAGCTTGAACTGCACTATGGAACAGACACAGAGCGGAGAGAAAAGAGAAAGGGAAGAAGAAGAAGAAAAAGGCGACAACGATGAACAAGCGAAGACGAAGAAGACGATGACGATGACGCCATGGGAGCAGCGCTCAGTTGTCATCAGCAGCCCTCGCTTCGACTACAACCCTCCCTCTTCTCTCCATCGGCGCTCGCACTCCGGCTTCCTCGTCACCTGCACCATCCGTGTACCATCTCTCCTTCGCCTTCTTTAGTTGTCAATTCGATAATTGGAATTTGGGTTGATGGCTTTTTGTCCTTTTGTTCCTTTTCCTGGCTTTCACCAGAGAGGGAGAAGAGCGCCACCAAAGAAGCCATGTGCCTCCCTGAAAAGGTTTTGATTGCCTTCTTAAAGTTGAACCTCTTAAGCGTGACTGAATGAGATGCTACATAATGTGTTTTGAGTATGGTTCATTTATGCTTGGAACTTGTCTCCTTTGAGTAAGCGTAATTGCATTGATTACTGATATCCTGATCATAGACTGGTTCATGTGGAAGTAATTTGAAGTAGCTCAATGAGACGAGTCTTACTTTTCCTATATGGGATAGTGCAATTTCATCGTCCTTAACTTTGTAATGAATGCTTTTGCAGTATCGTGGGCCATTTGCTGCTAGAGAGAGTAATAACCTGGAGGTGGCTGATGCAAAGTTAACTGCTAAATGAAGGTAAGTATTTCCTGCGGAATTGGATAAGGAAGGTGCCAATGGTGCCGAGTGTGGGCATTTAACTCATCAGTATCATAACGAGGATGGTACTCTTCTGGTCAAAACCCAATCACTACGTACTTAAATATCTGCAAATTGTTGTCTAATTGCCTCCAACTTTGCTATTCAACTGGCAGGTAAGCTTTCAGAAGATGCATCTTCTCAAACAGAGGAAGACATCAGTGCGAATAAATCTCCAGCTCTTTCATTAGTCAAGTTGACCGGGAGTGGTTTGCTTCTCTTTACATTCCCCATGACACCATTCAAATTGTGTCTGATATTATTGATTCCCTGGGATCTGGAGATTCGAGTTCCCTACAGTGAGTTTTTATTTTCCTTCCTCGACATTAGAAGGAAATGGCTCCCTAGTTGATGACATGCATTTCCTACCCTGGCTTGTTACTTTAGGATTGGGCAATGTGCTAGGGGTCGCTACTGATGCATGAGACCTTGCACCGCGTGTGACACAGAAACTTCGCATTGATGGATGAGTCCTCGTGTAAGTTGAAAGTTTAAGGAAAGAAAATAAGCAGATGTGCAACTAAGCCTCAATGAGGCATATCCGTGTTACTCGATCAGCTTAAACTCTACCTACTATAGTATAATAGGATTGCTGCTTATTTATGCTACTTATTGTTAGAACATGTTGGGGGAAGAACAGCAGAAGTGCCAAAAGTTGTGTACGGAGCTCACTTTGGTGTCAAAAGTTTCAATCGGATCACTTAAGTGCCAAAAGTTGAGAAAAACGATCACTTAAGTGCCACTTCGCCGGAAATCCGACGTGGCATTTTTTTATTAATTTCTCAAGCTGATGTGGCTCGCCGGAGGCTGATGTGGCATTTCTTTTCTTCTTTTTTTTCCTTTTCTTTCTTTTTTCCTTTCTTTTCTTTTTTTTTTCTTTCTTCTTATTTCCGATGGCCGGCCTCGCCGGGTGTCGCCTTCCTCCGGGCGAGGGCCGGTGAGGCCGACCTTCGCCGAGGCCGCCGTGGCCCTCGCCGAGGCCACGATTGCCTCGCCGGGCCTCACCCGGAGGAAGGCGACGCCCGGCGAGGCCGGCCATGGCCGGTGGTTGGCCTCTGGCCACCGGCCATGGTAGAAGAAGAAGAAGAAGAAAGAAAAGAAAAGAAAAGAAAAGAAAAAAGAAAAAGAAAAGAAAAAAGAAAAGAAAGAAAAAAAATCAGAAAAAATATTTTAAAAATTGAATTATACACATGGAAATGCCACGTGTCATTAAAATTTAAATATAAAAGCCACGTATTAAATTTGATCGGAATTTCTCGCCGTTGGCACTTAAGTGATCGTTTTTTCTCCGATTTGACACTTAAGTGATCGCCGGCGTAAACTTTTGGCACTTAAATGATCCAAATAAAACTTTTGGCACTAAAGTGAGCTCCGTACACAACTTTTGACACTTCTGCTGTTCTTTCCCCGAACATGTTGTATAGTTTTGTAGATTTTCCTTTACATCTCTTCTTTCTCTTTGGTCCCACATAGGAAGAATGCTAGGCTCATTTACTCCTCTAAGCCTATATAAAGGCTTCTCATGTACATTATTTCATACACCATTATAAGAGAACAAATACCATTCTCTTTTAATCTTTCTTTCTTATCATGGTATCAGAGCTAGGTTCATTGTCTTGAAGAGTATGCTCTGCGGTTGCCATCAATTGGATCTTCCGCATCAGAAATTAAGACAATGAGCTCATTATTTTTTTAAAGTATGCTCTGCGGTTGCCATAAATTGGATCTTCCACATCAGAAATTAAGATAATGAGTTTAGGGCTTTTGGGCCATCATCCTTGCTCGTTCTAATCCGCGTTTCTTCTTTCTCGATCCTTTCGATCACCTCAATCTATATTTCTAGCTTTACTAGTAATTTCTTTTTCTGTCGTCATGGGTGATTCTAGTGACCGTATTGACGTCAAACTCGATGGTTCAAACTATTCTCTTTGGAAACCATCGGCAATGGCAGCACTTGTTTACCGCGACTTGTTTGAGCATGTTGAGGGACTTTATCCTTGTCCTGGTGCTCTTAAAAGTGACTCATCTGATGAAGTTGCGAAACGTGCCGCTGAAATTCGAGCATGGAAAGTTGCTGATCGGAAGGCATGGGCTATCATTTTTGGTTCCATTGATCCTGCTCTTCGCCCACAATTTTCTAATGTTGTTGAGGCGAAAAGTTTATGGGATCAACTTGCCGAGATGTTCACCCAGACAGGGGACATTCGAGTTTATCAGTTGGAGCAAGAAGTTTACAGTGCTATGCAAGGGTCTCGTTCTATTCGAGATTTCTACAATTACATGCACTCACTTTGGAGTTAACTGGATATTCTTGCTCCTATTCTTTGCCCATCATGCCTGAACTGTACTCGGTGTCCATCTACTCGGCTTCAGACTCAAGATAGGCACCGTCTACATTCTTTTCTTATGAAGCTTGGCTCTCCCTATGAAGGTGTTCGCAGCCAACTTCTTCACCGCTCTCCAAGACCATCCCTCCTTGATGCTGTCAAAGAATTACAGTCTGAGGAAACTCGTCTTGGTCTTCTTTCCTCCTCGGCAGTTCCTGATTCAACTGCTATTTTGGCTGCTCCACCACGTGTTCCGCCTACAGTTTTGGCTGCTCCACCACGTCCTTCGCCTACTCGTGGTCCTCGCCGCCTTTCATGTACGTATTGTCATCGTCTTGGTCATGACGAGTCACATTGTTGGAAGAAGAGGAATGCTTCATGCCTTTCTGCATCACCACGAGTCACTACCGCATCTCCAATCTCTCAACCTATTACTCTGGTTTCTCCCTCTACGGATGATCGTATTGCTGCTCTTGAGGCCCAACTTGCCCGATTGAGTCCTTCTCTACCCAGGTCTTTTCCCGATTCTGGTACTTCTACATCTCTCTCATCTGCTGGAAGCACCGCTGCAGCTATTCCACCTTCAGATGATATTTCTACTACTTAGGTACTTGACTCAGGAGCTGCTAGACATATGTCTACTTCCGCTGTTTTTCTCACTAAGCTCTCTGAGCTCAAGCAACCAGCACATTTCTTTACTGCTAATGGTTCTCCTCTACTAGCTACCCGACAGGGTACTCTTACCGTCTCTGAAGATTTCAATGTCCCTGATGTGTTACATGTTCCCTCTTTGGCTCTCAATTTATTATCTGTTGGACAACTCACCGATGCTGGATGTACTGTAAACTTTACAAATAGCTCTTGCTTTGTGCAGGATCGTTTGAGTGGCAAGATGATTGGCAGGGGCAGTAGACGGGATGGACTTTATATTATGCAACATCTCCATCTTCCAACTTCCTCTCTTCCTCATCCTGTGTTGGCTACCCTCGATCTTGCTCGGTGGCATCAGCGTCTTGGACATATTCCGTCTTCTCGTCTCACCGTCCTTCACCATCAAGGTGCTTTGGGTCTTATTTCTTTTGGTAGTCTTCTTCCATGTTCTATCTGCCCTTTGGCCAAGCAATCTGCTAAGCCTTTTCCTGTTAGTAACTCTAGAACTAGTGCGATCTTCGATCTTGTTCATTCTGATGTTTGGGGTCCTGCCCCGCTCTCTTTCAAGAGTGGTTTCAAATATTATGTATCTTTTATTGATGATTATTCTCGTTATACATAGGTCTATCTTATGCGTCAACGTAGTGATTTCTTTACCATCTATCAGTCTTTTACTTCCATGGTTTCCACACAATTTAATACAAAAATCAAAGTTTTCCGTTCAGATTCAAGGGGAGAATATCTCTCTGGTGTCTTTCGTTCCCTTTTAGCTAGTGATGGTACACTTCCTCAGTTATCTTGTCCTGGGGTTCCAGCTCAAAATGGAGTTGCTGAACGCAAGCACCGTCATATTCTAGAGACCACTCGTGCTCTCTTACTTGGCACATCCGTTCCCACTGAGTTCTGGGCTGAGGCTCTTCTCACGGCTGTTCATCTAATTAATCGCCTAGCCTCATCTATTCTCCATCAAGACACCCCGTTTCAGCGTCTCTACTCTCGACCTCCTAGCTATAATCATCTTCGAGTTTTTGGATGTACTTGTTTTGTCATTCTTCCACTCACTGAACGTACAAAGCTTACCGCCCGCTCTATCCCATGTGCATTCTTGGGTTATAGCACTGAGCACAAAGGTTATCGTTGTTATGACCCAAATGCGCGACGTGTATGTATTTCTCGTGATGTTACGTTTCATGAACACATCCCTTTTCTTTCCGACAAATACTATACCTCATGTTTCGTCTACTATTCCATTTATGGATTTTCCTGTTGATCCTCTACCTGACCCTTCTAGTCCCTCTTCTACATCGGATCTAGATATATTGCCACCTTCTCCATCTTCACCTATCCCTTGTATTGCACCTCCTGCTGTATCTGCCCTCGACGATTCTGCACAACTAGAGCCACGCCGTAATCCTCCTCGAGATCGGCGTCCACCTGCCCAATATGTTGCTGCTACTTCTTATTCTACTGAGTTTGGATCCTTTTTAGCTGCCGTTCATGCTGTACAAGAACCTAATAGTTATCGCGAGGCAGTTCAGCATGTAGAATGGCGCCGGGCTATGTCTGAGGAACTCTCGGCTTTAGAGAGTACTGGTACTTGGGAGCTTGTGCCTCTTCCTCTAGGTCCCTCCCTCGTATCTTGCTGATGGATATATAAGATTAAGACTCGTTCTGATAGCAGTATTGAGCGTTACAAAGCTCGTCTGGTTGCTCGAGGTTTCTCGCAAGAGTATGGTATCGACTATGAGGAGACCTTTGCTCCCGTAGCAAAGATGACATCTGTCCGTGCTTTATTAGCTGTTGCTTCAATTCGCAGTTGGCCTCTCTTTCAGCTTGATGTGAAGAATGCTTTTCTTCACGGTGATCTTCAGGAAGATATCTTTATGCAACCTCCGCCTGGTTTTGCTCATACCTCTGGACAGGTTTGCCGCTTGCGACGGGCTCTTTATGGTCTCAAACAGGCCCCTCGTGCTTGGTTTGAGAAGTTCAATGATGCTATTTAGTCTGCTGGTTTCATTCAAAGTGAGGCTGATCATGCTATGTTTGTTCATACCTCTTCTTCAGGCTGCACTATTCTTCTTCTTTATGTTGATGATATGGTCATCACCGGAGATGATTGTGACCATATTGAGCATACCAAGCGGCACCTTTAGCAACATTTTGCCATGAAGGATCTAGGACCACTGCGCTATTTTCTTGGGCTTGAGATTGCTCGCAGTTCACGTGGTATTCTCATTTCTCGGCAGAAATATACCGGCGATATTCGTCCGTGGTCGCTCTATCGATTCACGCATCGCCGCCACTCCTATTGAGCTCAATCAGAAGTTTTGCCCAGACGATGGAGAACCTCTTTCTGATGTCACCCGCCATCGGACCTTGGTTGGCAGTCTTATTTATCTTACTATCTCCCGACCCGACAACGCCTATGCTGTTCATGTTGTCAGTCAGTGTAACGACCTGGGTCCCACTTGCAAGATATTGTCCGCTTTGGA